GATACCCTTCCCAGATCATTGACTCCCCTTCTCAAGTAACTGGAGCAAACAAATAAATGGTAAAAGAATTTAAAACCATTGAAATACAATTAAAGGAAGCAGACATAAGCTCTATACTCTTTGTTATAATGAATAGTGCATGATCTTTCTATTCTCTAAAAGAAAATAAATTCAGCAAAACATATAAACTTCAAAAGAACATGAGCACATAACAAGAAAAATCCTTAAATTGGAATATGAAATTACAAGTTTTTGCAATTAAGCCCTTTGAATTCATTTCATTTTGTTATCAATTTAGGCCTCATCTTTGCAAACCAGGACCATGACACCCAAATTCAACTGAACTATTATTCCTTTGTTAATGAAACTCAATAATCCCATTTGTAGTTTTTATAAGAAAAGCTGTTAATTTTTCAAATGAAACTGAAAAATGTAACAAAACAAAATTAAACTTAGAGGTAAAGAACTCACCATGTTCCCGCAAAAAGCCGAGAACATCTTGAAACTAGAGAAACACTGAAATCTCTCCCAAAAATTGACAGCCTAGTCTGTCATCACAAAGCAGAATGGAGATGAATACCTAACACGCATTAATAGCATTCAAGTTAAGCAAAAATCAAGACAATAAAATACCATCCATGCATGATCACGTCCATGAGGAAAGAACCTCAGGATGATCCTCAACATTTTTTAAACAGAAGAAGCTACTTCCTAAGTATTTAATAAACTGCAAAAAGGAAATACATAGGATATGTGGCTCCTTGTGATTTAATGTCACTCCAATCGAAGTCACATCTTCTACCATTTCCTTAATATATTCTTCCACTTTTGCTAAACTTAATTCAAGGAATCCCCTTTTTCTTAAAATAGTTTCACTCTTCAAATCTTTACCCCAATTTAACCAGCTTTCCAGATAGCTTTGGTCCCGACCAAGCAAAATTTGCATGACCAGTGAACCATCAATTTAAACTTGTACATTGATCAAATACAAGAAGGATAAATAAAAAAGCCTAACTAGCCAATGGAAGTTCAAGATAATTACAGCACCTCAATGCAATCAAATAATAAGACATAAGATTTTTTATTTTTATTTTTTGACCAGAAACATAGGAAAATAAGACATAAGACGAAAAGAAAAAAAAAAAAAAAAAAAAGAGATATGATGTTAAAGGAAACGTTATTCACAACAAGGCAGATAGATAAGGACAAATGGAAGATGACTTTTGCGAAAAACTATTTACCTGTTTAAAATGCCCATGAACTAATGCTATTGTCCAGAAAGTATTGTTGCATTTCAATCGAATAGCTTGAGTTAAATAGGAATTCCAGACAAATATATTA